GTCATTAAAAGCCTCGTGCCAATTTCCACGGCTCGCACAACCTGGTATCGAGAGAGTAAGGTTCAGTAAAAAAATAAGCTCGTGGTTATTAGAAACAAGTATTAGGTTTTGTTACTAGTAAACACAACACTTAGAAAAGGCACTTGATGGTTAGAAGAAGTCGATGACAGCAACAAAGATTTGATAGAAAAAGGTCTTGATTCACCATGATATCATGAATCAAATTGAAACAAAATCTTCGCACTGTAGTAAGCTTGATCCGTAGTGCATCTGCATAAACAACCTTGTGCAGAATTAATCATATCGCAGCCAAACGTGTCCTACAAGAAAGGAGCAAAATATGATGAACTTATCACTTACAGATCAAGCAAGACTTGGCCGATTATTAAAGTTTCACATCAGTAAAAAAATAAATACTGCAGTGAATGTAATTCACAAGGAAATCATCACCTTGCAAATCTTCAAGGGGGCCCCACACAAGGTCGTGTCATGATCTCTCATCCCACACCAGACAACAGCAAAGAAAGGGATAGCTCATAACCTGCAAAAGCAAAAAAAAAACATAGCAGAGTGCAGTAATAACAGCCAAACCACTAGCAAACAAAGGGTAGTAGCCTGAGCACCACAAACCTGCAGCAAATTGTACCACAAAAGGGGACTTAACAGCTAGCCTTGAACATCACGCTCCCTTTGTTGAGGGTTCCTCTCTTGATATTTGAGGGGGAACCCAATCTTCAGAAAGGAGGATAAAAACAACAACAACAGAACTTTTTTTGAAAAAAGTTTCTCATCACTTCAAGAACCAGAATCGAAAAACTCATCACCCTTCTGCAATCATTAAGCCGTGAAAATCCAACTTCGAAACTCTCTGAATCCTACTCATCCGTTAACCCAGAGCTTCACACAAAATACGTTTCATTATCGCCCTCCAACTACCCATCCGACCAAATACCCTGTCCCCAACTTTATTGAACCTTCTCAATAACCCTCAATCTCAACCTATTCCAACATAATCCATTTCCGCAAGAACGTTTCTTCTTCCAATACACCCTTCAACCTCAAAATCACCATAACTTCCAACAGCGAAACTTTCACCCAAAACAAACATCATGAACCAAACCCATTCACCACCAATATCCATCACCGATTTCGTAAACAATAAACAAAAACGAAACCAGAGCAAACAGAGATAAGAAGAAACAGAAAGAAGAGATTAGAATCGCAAGAAGGTTTTATCATTGACCTTGTTTATTCTGTTGATAATCTTGATCTATGGTGGAACAGGGGATTCCTAACGCCTTGTTGTTTCCGCCATGCCCGTATTTGATGTTGCTTTTGAGATTTTCTTTTGATTTTGTTGTCTTTTAAGAAACCTATGTCTGAGCCATGACCATCTATTTCCCATTGGATTTTGGCAAAGAGATCAACCCGTTTACACTATTACACAACTTTTTGGGATCTTTTTGTTTTCTTTTTAAAAATTTTGTTCGGTTTTTCTTAGGAGTCCATAGATCTCTCCTTTTCTTTTCTTTTTAAAAAAAAATATATAATATATCTTCTAATGAGTTTTAAGTTGAAGTTCTCATAATGTTTTTTTTGAATAATTTTAGTGAGAACTTTAATTAATTTATATACAGCTGTTTTTTTTTCTAACTCATATTGTTAATATCCTTCATTAATATTGTTAAAGTTCTTTGGATATTTAATTTTGGTTTATACTTTCAATTATATTTTCTTTTATTTATTTTTTATCGTGTTTAGGGTCGATGACGAGATTTCCGACGTTTAACCGTCACATTAGTGGCGTGAAACAAAGGATCTGAGACCCCCTTTTTTTCTTTCGATTTTATTTCATTGACCACTAACTTAAATTTCCGTCAAATATTATTGTGGATATTATATTGTTATATTATTATTCATATTATTCATATTATTGCTACATTTATCTTAACATATTATTTATTCATATTGTTCATGTTATTATTCATATATCTCATATTTATCATATTTATTCACCCATATTCGAAAATACCTAATAAATTATCGAAACTCCTAAAAACCAAATTGGTGGACTGTTGGATCATTGGTTATTTGCAGGTATCTCGATGTTAAGTCGTGCCCGACTTTGCTCAAGGCGTAGTTTAGGACACAAATGCACACACACGACTTTCTCTTGGGCTACCTGACAATGAGACCCCTTTATTTCGTGCAATCCCGTGTAAATTACATGTACCCCTCTCCCATTCCGATGTATGTTTCGCATTTATTTGATTATTAGTTTATCTCCTAGAAGCACCCATAGGGACTAGAGCAGATCAAACTATTTTCAAACTAATTCTCGATTCATCATCGAGCCACTCTCAAACAACCCATAAGTCGAGTGCTCATACGCATTCGCCGTCAACCTATTACAACTCGACCCTTGATGCGTAAGTCAAGCCGGTCTCTTTTTCAAACCATTTCATTTTTAACACGTTTTGCACGCGATAACGTGTCAAACCCTTGATCCAACGTCAAGTGGATTTTCGTAACAAACTATCAATCAATTAACAACTATTCAATTCTTTTCAAGGTGTAAAGAGTAGGTTCAAGTCTTTGATCTTGCTTTCCGTTGTTTATATGCGAGTTATCTTATTCGTGTGTGAGCAATTGATGCCTCTAAATAACATTAACAACTCGACATCGTTCAACTATTTCCAACTTAAACAACTTTCCTTTCACGATGAAAAAGAGAGTGTTCCAAGTCTTTGGTTCGCTCTCCCGATCATTTAGAGTTTGAGAAGTCTTTCTTAAGCTTCAAGTAATCGTCATCATTTCAACCTCATCCTTTCAAACACAACTTCTCTTACGATGAAAAAGAGAGCGTTCCAAGTCTTTGGTTCGCCCTCCCGATTATTTTGGTCCGAGAAATCTTTCTTAAAGCAAAAGTAATCGTCATCAGTTCAAACACCATTCAAACATAACATTATTCTTCAAGATGAAAAAGAGAGTGTTCCAAGTCTTTGGTTCGCTCTCCCGATTACTTGGGTACGAGAAGTCTTTCTTAAGCTTCGAGTAATCGTCATTCGTACCCACTTCAAACCAATTCAATCCAGTTTCTTTCGTGGTCGTTACCACGAACTACGGACGCTCTGATTCTTCATTCATTCTTGAATGTAAGATACGTAGGCACAAGATTGCGATGATCTTGGCGAGCACAATTCCCTCCATCTTCCATTTCCCTCATCCTTTCCCGTAGTCGAACTACGACGCTCTGATTTCTCATTCTCGTCCGAATGAGCATACGTAGGCACAAGGGCCCCAATCCTTGGCGAGCACCCTATTTTCTAACCATCCCCTTTCCCCTAGTGTCTTAGCCCTTTATAGTATCCTTTAGCATTTAGTAGTGAGAAGAGAAGAATTAAGTTTAGCTAACATCCATTAACTCGAATTAAGAGGTTCCCGTCGAGTACGACGGACGTGAGGGGTGCTAGTACCTTCCCCTCGCGTAACCGACTCCCGAACCCAGGAACGTATGGTTGCGACGGCCGTGTTCCTTCCGCATTTCAAGAGATTTTCTCGATATTTTCCTCTCCCGTTTATTCGGGAAAAATAAAGTTCAGTGGCGAATCTGTCGAACCGCATTTCCGCGCCTTTCGCGCGAGGGTCGTTTCTCCGAAATGTCTCCGTGATTTTTTGAGGTGCGACAATTAGGTATTTATCCAAATGTCTGATTCTGTTGGTGAGATATTGATCCCGCCACCGATGAAAAGAATAAAACTCGACGAGAGTGAAAATGAAGACAGGCTCAATGACTTACCCGAAAGCATTATCCTTCACATATTGTCTTTTTTAAACACCAAAATCGCGGTTCAAACCTGCGTTTTATCCACAAGATGGAAGGATCTCTGGAAATGTATTCCATCTGTTACATTGCATTCTTCAAACCGTCGAGCTTACAAGAAATTCGCCAAATTAACTTCTAAGGTTTTATCTCTTCGCGTTTCCTCTATCTCATTGCAAACTCTTAATTTTAGGAGTGTTCATGGTCACTTTGAGTTTGAAGTTAAAAGGATTGTGGATTATGCTCTTTCACACAATGTGTAGCGATTAGGACTTTGTATCAATGGTCACATTGCGCAAATTCCATGTAGTCTGTTTTCATGTCAGACTTTAACATTTCTTAAGCTTTCTATTTTCCATTGCGATCATGGAACACTATTTCCTAAATCGCTCAATTTGTCGGCATTAACCAACTTGTAGCTAGGCAATTTTACATTTGGTGTTGACGATAATGACCGTGCCGAGCCATTTTCAAATTTTAACCGGTTGAATAGTTTGCTCATTTGCAATTGTATTATGACGTGTGCATGAACTCTTTGCATATCAAGTGTGACACTTGTCAATTTAACTATATATAATCACAAATACATCTTTTATGGCATTGATCTATGCACTCCCAGTCTTCGTAAGTTAGTTTTTGTCGGTACTCCTTATCAGAAATTATCTGGAAGCAATGTTTCTTCTCTTAGACATGTAGATATTGATGCAGAAGTATCTTGGTATAAAGAGGACCCTCATTTGCTTCTACGCAGTTGGCTACTAGAGCTTGCTAATACAAAAGCATTGACGGTCACTCCAGCTACTCTTCAGGTACCTTAGCTTACCATGTTTGAAACTATTTCTTACTTTCGTAAGATTCTTTATTTTATTTATTTTCTTAAAATTCGAGAAGAAATTATTTATTTATTTAAGAACTATTTTAACAGTATCTCCAATTACAATTGAATTCCGTAATTGACTTACATTAGACTTATTCACTTACATCCCTATTTGCTTAGGTTCTCTACTTATTTCCTAATTTGTTGAAGATCAATCTAGATTTCTTGCGTAACCTGAAGTCATTGAAAGTGAGAATGGAAGAAATTTTTTAACTATATGTCTCACAGATATAGAGAGCTATATAAGGCCAGGGTGTATTATTTTAACTATATGTCTCCGCCTATAAAATTCGGCATGGGATGAGGTATAATTTGATATAGTTCTGTATATAAATTTCCTAATGGAACCATCAAACATATAAATCAGAATGAGCTTATTACTGTTTCATAATGCATCTATGATATAATCTCGGATCTAGCTTGAGAAAGCTTCTAGCTGCATCGAATGGTTCACTTTGGAGAACAGGGTTGATATATGCAAGAGTGCGGAACTCTGTAGCTATTCTGTATAATGGTATGTTCCCTCTTATTGTTTGTGTGGCATCCATTCTTCTCATGTGATTGTATTTCAGTTACCATTATAGTTTTCGACTACGTTACTTGGATTAAAATTTATTTCTTGTTTATCTCGTGTAGGTCAGGTGGCCTTGGATGTGCCGTTGCATTTTGGAAGCTTAGAAAGTTGTCAGGTTTTGTGCGTGAAGCCCCTTGCTGTTTCTGCGAGTGCAGACGTTAAATTTTCTGTGAAAGGGTTAAACCTTTTCTTGTATAGTACAAGGTAGTTTCTAAACACCTTATTCGTTTAAGATTTGAGAGGCGAAAAGCTAAACCTTTCCCTCTTGATTTTAGATTACTCTGCGCACTCGAAGGAAAGTATCTGGTAGAGGATAATTGTTATGATTTGATTGATGGTGCCGAAGCAGCCTCTGGACATCATGAGCTTCAGAATCTCAGCTTCTCTTGTCATATACCAAATATGATTGGAAGAGGATTTATTGAGGTAACTTACAATATCTATATACTTTCATTTTCTGTGATATTCTTTTAACCAAATAAAATCTGCTTAAATTTTACAAAGTGATTGTTGCTAGTTTTGGAAGTTATATCTTTCTCTCTGGTTTGTTAATCTTTACTCAGGTCGAAGATAATAGTCTCAGCAGCTGTTCCTATCCATTCCTAGTCGCAGAGCCTGAAATTTATTCGGAGATATGTAATCTGGAAATTGTCATTGAAGCAGCAGAGACTGCTGATGACATCCAGATAAAGGCTAAATTAATTGAAGGAAAGACTCGAGCAATGAATTTCGTACATAGTGTTCATTAGTTTCCAGACTGTGAGTCACTAGTGTTAACAAAGTTTGTGCATCAGGAATGAAAGGTGTGTAATGTACTATAAACAAGGATTATTTTCTTGGTATCTTTTAGTTTTATTATTTTAATGAATGAACAAGGTTAATAAACCTTTCTTGGTTAACTGCAGCTACAATGCTTGCTGCACAGAGTATTCAACTAGGCATAAATGATGTTGTTGTGGCTGGTGGTATGAAAAACATGTCTAGTGTACCTAAGTACTTGGCAGAAGCAAGGTCAATATTGATAATGATATTACAAAAGTGACTTTGTCATGTAGTGACAGCAGTGGTCAAATAACAATGTCAAATAACGATTTTCTGGTAATGTTTTGCCATGTCATTTAATGAGTTTGTCAATTGGCATCTCATTTTAGTAATTTATTCAAACAAGCTCATTGAGTGCAATCCCAAAACAACATTGGATGATAGTGTTAAAAAGTTTACATTCACAGTGCATCAAAAGCAAAGTATTATACTTATTTACTGTTTCCAATTCCAAGATGATTTATGAAGTATTTGTAACTGTAGCATTATTTTTTCCCATGTATGCAAGTTAGGTCTGTTCGTGTCAGGCTAAAAAGTTTAGGTCTTCATGTGTCGCCTTGTGTCCTTGACTTTTTGAGTAAGACAATATTTCGGTGATGTTGCTGAAACCACACTCAGGGATATTGATTGTGATAAGGATTATGGTTAAAGTTGCACTGCTCTACCGTGTGGGATTTTCTTATTTGGTGAGCATAGCACACTGCTGCTACTGGATTGCACATGATTTATGAGCAGGCTTTTCGTGTTAGTCATCATTTTTTCTGATATTTATATACTGTCATAAATATTGCCTATACCTTATCTTGTTGTTGAAGCTTCTCAAACATTTGAGAGAGTTGTAGCACGAGGTGCAATAGGTGCTTAGTCTGTAGCCCTGGTGTTGGAAAGTCTTCTTTCCTGAAGATTGAACAATAATGCATAACCGATAATTTTCAACATTCAGGTAGTGCAACATAGGAGGATGCCTGTGAGCAATTAGGAGTTCAAAGGGATGATATTACATTAGTTCTTGGTCTTGCTGAAAGTTTGGCCCCCTCATGGGATATCTGCTGAAAAGTTTGTCGGTTGGGTCTAATAAAAAAGGAATTGATAGAGTTAGATATCTGCTGAAAAGATTTTTGGTTGGGTCTTCTTCGGTGGTCTCCTTGCGATATACGGTTTTTGTTATTGACGAGTGTCACATGTTAACCTCCAAGGCATGGCTTGGATTTCTCAAGTTTCTCGAAGAACCGCCTCAACATGTTGTGTTCATATTTATAACATCAGATATTGATAATGTGCCAAGAACAATTCAGTCTCGATGTCAGAAGTACCTTTTCAATAAAATTAAAGATGGGGATATTGCGACAAGGTTAAAGAAACTATCTACTCAAGAGAACCTTGACGTCGACACAGATGCTCTGGACCTTATTGCCATGAATGCAAACGGTTCACTTCGAGATGCAGAGACAATGTTAGAACAGCTTAGCTTGCTGGGAAAAAGAATCACCACTTCTCATGTCAACGAACTTGTGAGTTTGCTGTGGCTATTTTTCTTTGAAATGTAACAGTTCTGACAATACTTTTTGTCTTCAATATAAGTTTTTCTTTTGGTTGTATGAATCTATCTTTAACAAATAATGCTCTTTTGTACCACCTGCAGTAGGTTGGAGTTGTTTCAGATGAAAAACTATTGGAACTTTTGATTGTATGAATCTATCTTTTATATATATATATATATATATATATATATATATATATATATATATATATATATATATATATATATATATATATATATATATATATATATATATATATATATATATATATATATATATATATATATATATATATATATATATATATATATATATATATATATATATATATATGCACTATCCCAAAAAAATTGATATTAAAAAAAATCAAACTTGTTAGGTCGGTTATATATATCTGATTTAAGAAAAGAAGTTCTTAAGTCGGGTAAAAATTGAATAAGGTCTTTCTAAAAACCTAGACTTATTAAGTCGGACGTAGTTAAACCGACCTAATAAAATTTTCTTAAGTCAGGTCAAAATCTGACTTAAGAAGTCAAAACTTCTTATGTCGGTAATTCTTAGGTCAGTTTCAGACCCGACTTAAAAAGTCATTTTCAATCGACTTAACAAACCTTTTTTCCACTAGTGTGCGCAGTTTTCTTAAACACCTTTATTGTATACATTTTAGTTCAATTTTCTTATTGTATACGACTTGTTATATTTCCTTAAAATATTTTGTAGGTGCTCAGAGCCAATTTTAATGTTTCATGCATAATATATTAGTCAATTATGTGTTGAGTGTTACATTTCTAACCACAATAATATCATTCGATAGCATAGTTAACCAATGGACTAAACATATGAAAGAAAATTGACCGCATAAAGTTATTTGTTAAATAAAAATTAAAATCGAATTTGATAATAATTTAGGATATAATAGATAACCTACGTTATTCATGTTTTGAAAGACCCCTTTGTAAACAACGTATGAAGTCTTAAAAGTTACAATTTCATCTTGCGATGAAAAGGTACATTCTCATTTAATATCAAATACATGTTATTGTATGTATACAAGATAAGAAAATTCAAGATGCATTAGAATTGTAAATATTGAAAAATAGGTTTCAAGAAATATATAATAAATACAATAATATATATTTTAGATGATAAATCATAGACAACCAAAGAATACAAAGAAATGTATGAAACAATTGAATACAACATAATCCTATTAATTATTTATTTGAGATATAATATTTATTAAAATTATTAAAATATGCGTAAACTGAGTTGAGAAGTTAACAAAACTATTAAAATACATATATTAAAACAAATCAACATCTTACAAAACATCTTACAAAAAAACAAATGTCCAAACTACCATTTTGGTCATCAAATATGTAACTTATTCTATTAGTCTCTCTGAATGTATCTTCATCTTAAACTCATGAATATGTCCTATATTATTACTCCAATTATGTGGTGAAATAAGATTTTTTTTTTATTGGTGAAAAAAATATATTTATTTATTTATTTTAAGTTATCATATATTTTGTTATCACTAAGATAATTTTATTAAAAACATTGAAATTGAATTGATTGATCCTTGATAACTATTTCAATTTTTCTTTATATTTAATGACGTATTTAATTTGAAAATTTATTTTAATGTTGTTATTATGTAGAGCAATTATGATCGTCAAAAAATATTATTCGATAATAATTTTGTAAAAAAAAACAAATGTCCAATTATATTAGAGATAAAAGATATAATAATTATTTGATTACTAATAATTTAATTAAATGTTAGTTATAATAATTTTAAGATGTATTATATTTCAATTTAAAATGAAATATATTTTAAATGTATAAATCATTATATTAGTCTTTCAATATATCTTCATATTAAACTCAGGATTATATCTCATATATTATTACTGCAACTTATCATGATTGATGTAGTAAATTATTACTAATTTGAATATATTATAAGAAACACCACGGGTGTTACATCAGTACATGTATCTAATTGTTACTGTGTGAATAATGCTTTTGAATCACAATTTATGAATTATATGTTAAGTTTTTATAGGGAAAATTGTTTGAAAGCATACATTCAATACATATTTCTCATTAAATGTGGTAGTGGAAGTTAGATATTATCAAGGTTGTGGCAAGATCAAAATATTATTAATAAAATGTCATGTTAAATACTTTTAATTTCATATTGATATTATTTTATATAATATTGTATTATTTTATAAAAAATGTCATGTTGAGTTTTGTAATAATTTTATATGATATTATTTTATTATTTAATATTTTTTTCTCCCATAAATATCTTCTTTTATGAGAATAGCAATGGAAGTCTTAAAAAATGAAATTGAAGATCAACTTTTTTGTCTTCTTTATTATATTTTGTCTTCTTTATTATATTGTTGTGATATGATATTTAAGCCTTATCTAAAAGCACATAAATGAGTATTTAAATGTTGTTTGCATAAATAATTTATTATTTAATAATTATTTGCATTTAATGGGTGGGATAATGAGCATGAATAAGGTAAATTATGTAGTGTTACATTACTACTTTTTAGATAACCGGTACTTCTACGTAAAGTTGTGGATTGATATTGTACTTTCTATAACATATATAAGAATGTGGGAAAATAACAAAAAAAAAAACTATATACAAAAAATCACATTCTACATATAATATAGGAACATGTAAGAAAAAAATCAAACTGTGATTAGGATATGAAACATAAATTGCATTTTCTTTTACTTTCATTGCAAATGAACAAAAATATAAAGTAAGTTCATCTTTGATCATAGAACTTTTTATAACATTGATAATTACTTATCACTCAATCCATTGTAAATATGTTTAACTCAATCTGTTAAGAGTCTCACATCGGACAATATATGACATGAACATGTGTTTATAAGTGGGGGTAATCCTCACTCTACCAACCGGTTTTGTAGGGTTGAGTTAGGCCCAACCATACTTCTTAACATGGTATCAAAGCCTGATTATAATAATAAGTTCTTCGTATTTTGGAAGACAAGGTCCATTGTCATTAACATGCATGAGAATTCTAAATATTAGAAAATAAATTTCTAGGAAGATACAATAAATACAGTAATACATATTTTAGATAATAAATCATAGACAAACAAAGAATACAATGAGCGGGCCACCCACCATTTAGGGGTGTGTCAAATTTGATAATAATAAGTTCTTCGTATTTTGGAAGACAAGGTCCATTGTCATTAACATGCATGAGAATTCTAAATATTAGAAAATAAGTTTCTAAGAAGATACAATAAATACAGTAATACATATTTTAGATAATAAATCATAGACAAACAAAGAATACAATGAGCGGGCCACCCACCATTTAGGG